GCGTGGGGAGCAGGGGAGGGTGGTTTATCCTCTGGGAATTGAGAGACAGGGGGTTTTTAGGCACACAACATGGGGGGGGGGGGTACCAAACTTGGGTCCTCTGGAAGAGTAGTATGTGCTTTTAACTGCTGAGTCATTTCTCCAGCCCTGTCCATATGTTAATAGGTTTTTTAATTTTCAAGGTCAGTGAGTTGGCTCATTGGCACCTGCCACTAAATCTAACAATCTGAGTTTGATCCCAAGGACCCGCAAGGTGGAAGGAGAGAATAGACTCCTAAAAATTGTCCTGACTTCCCCAATGTGCCATGACATGGGCAAGCCCACATACAAATAAATAGATAGATAGATAAATAAATAAATAAATAAATAAATAATGTACTTTCTGACAATACAGTGGATAGCAACAAGGATGACAGTATATGGGCACCTGCAGCGGGGGGCTATGGGAGGGTGCCATTTGGGATGTGGGCATAAAGATAAATAAGATTGTTTGGGATGTTCTGTATTTCATACACACACACACACACACACACACACATACACAAATCAATTTTAGAAAATTTATGTGCTTTCTCTTTAGTTACATTTTCTGAGCCTATGAGACTGGGGTGGGGGTGGGGGATGCTTCCTTTGTAATCAGAAAAACCCCAAGTGCATTTTTTAATGATCTGTAGTAACAAACCGAACAAGTTAAACAGTTGTTCACAAGCCTTTGCCATCTTCATTTTATAAGTTATCATGAAACCCTCCATAATCCATCTTTTCCTTCCACTATTATTCAAGTTAAATTAAGTGTGAACATTTTAAAAGACTTCCAGTTCAGAACTTTATAAAAGTAGGCACAAAAATTACTAAAATTTATTTATTTTCATGGACCCAGACATGGCTCAGTAGATGAAGTCACTGCCACCAAGCCTGATCACCCGAGTTCAATCCCTGGAACCACAAGGTGGAAGGAAAGCAACTCCCTTTAGTTGTCCTTTGTCCTCCACATGGGCACACACACAAACAAATAAATAAACTTAATTTTTCATTTCACAAATCATAGTTTCATAACAGCTTAAAAACAAGGTTTTGTCAACGTTAGTGAGTCATCCTAAAACGTGACAAAAACAAGTTATTTCAATACTGAACACTTGATTTCACTTAAGTATGAGGTCTGAATCTTGCTGCTGCCGTTAACTTACCTCTGTGCCCTTGGACAAGTAACAGTGACGCTAACCTGCAGTTCTCTCATCTGTACAAAGGGGATTACTGCCTTCCTAAATATGTTGACAGAATTAAGAGATGCACACAAAGTGTTACACTGACTTCTATTAAGTTACTTTAATAGAGTACAATGCCCAAAGCCATAAAAAAATCATTTATACTTCATCCCAATTCTAACTTTATAAAGGAAAAACAACGTGCAAAGTTTCATGGTATGACAGACTCTTACAATTCCGAATTACTAACAACTATGGTGACATTCGTAGTGTATGCAAGTACTAAATGCCCAGGTGGAAAGAACAAGGGTGTCTTGTAATATGCCAGTATGCATCAAGTGATATATATATGGCTTACTATATGTCTTGGCCTACACAGTGAGTTCCAGGCCTGCTGGGGCTGTCTCAGAAAAGAAAAAACAAAACAAAACAAACAAACAAAAAAACCTGAATCAAAGCCAATCATGAAGGTGCATGCCTGTATCCAAGCAGGCAAGAGGCTGAAGTAGGAGGAAATGAGCCCCTACTCAAAAAACAAAGACAAATCATTTGTATTCAAAACGCTGTGAAACCTTGTAAAGTACATGCAAGATCAACCTAGGGAACCACGTATGGCTGCACTCTACCATCTTACACAAAGAGGTTCCCGAGGCAACTGGTTTCACTCACTGCACAGGTAAACACACTACGGCACAAGGAACAGGCTGGCCAGTGGCCACCAGCAATCTGAACACTTGGGTTCAAATCTGTCTCCTACTACTGTGTGAACCTTGGCCAAGTTACTAAGGCAAGCCTAAATTTCCACATCTTGAAAAGATAATACCTATCTATTCCACAGAGCTGTCGGAGGGTCAAACGTGAATGTGCACGAGTATGCTATATGCTTGGAAACTATAGGTTTTTATTAAGGAAAGACTTTCTTAAAAAAAAAAAATCAGGTTTTATCGACCCATCCATAAATACCCAACTTTTCACTATTCATTATTAGTGCTTGATTCAACTGCACTTAAAATCGCCAAAATAAACCTTAAGGCTGAAAAACGCTCATGTCCACAAAAATAGACCCAGGGGCTAAGTATCCGCAATGAGAAGCACAAGATCAGTAATTTCCTCTACACACTCACTAATACATCATCGACTCTAAAAACATCAAACTGCTTTAAAATAACCAGCGCTTCCGATGGGCAAGCATCGGTGCTCCTCCGGGTGTTTACCGCCGCGCATTCAAAACCACAACTAGAACACACACACCCAAAACAAACCCTGCTGCCAAAGCCACGGACTCAAAACGGAACCGACGGGGCCTCGGTCCCTCCAAGACTCTCCCAGGACCGTCCTCTCCCGAGTCCGGTCCACGCCTTCAGGGTGGAGCAAGAACAGGGCAGGGTTTATTACCAGGAGTCAGTTCAGCCCATTGGGCCGCGCGCACCCCAAAGTCAACAAAGAAGTTGTGAGCTGGGAACACAGGGGCCTTCGGGGCACTAGGCAAACCGACCACAAGGAAGACAAAACCCCGTGGGGGAGGGGAGCGACTACGCCCCCGGACTTCACGAAGCCCGCTGCCCCTTCCCACTCCCCGAGGTCCAGGACACCACGGCACCGCGAGGTCCCAGCACCCCGACACGCCGGTCTTCTGACACCCCACTGCTCGAGCACCCCGACGTCCCAGCATCTCATCTCGGGCATCCGGATGTCCTAGCACCTCCACGTCTCGGGCACATCAATGCCCTGGCACCCCACGGCTCGGGCACCCGATGTCTCGGGCACCCCAATGTCCGGGCACCCCGATGTCCCCGCACCCCCGGGCTGACTGATCCCTGCGGGGGACACGAAGGGGTCACCTTCTCACGGTGTCCGAGGGAGGCCGGGCCGCGCGCCGGCCCGCCCTGCAAACTGCCCGGGGGGCTCCGCGAGCGCCGCGGCCCGGCCGGAGCGCGGGCGTCGCTGCAAGGACGCGGTCGCCGGCACCTCACCTTCCTCGGCGGTGTCCATCTTGTCTGCGGGACGGCGGTGACGCAGCCACGAGGCGCCGCGCCGGCCGAGCCTTCTGGCCCGAGGATAGCGGAGGGACGCGGGGAGGAGGAGAGGCCGCGGCCTGCAGGTGCGTGCGCTCGGGGCGAGGGGAGCCCGACGCTGGCCAGGAGTCCCACTGCCGCTGACAGAAAGCGAGCGCCGGAGGGGGAGGGGCGCGCGGCCGAGAGACGGGCCTGGGCGGGGCGCGCGGCGGAAGAGGCAGGGCGAATAGCCTTCGCGTCACTTCCGGCGCGCACAGTCTGCGCGCACTCTGCAGAGCGCTGGACCTTCCAGATGAGGAGCGGACTGGAGGCGAAGGAAAGGAAGGCGGCGCATCGCGATGCGGCTTCTTCCGGGACGAAGGGAACGCGGAGCCGCTCCGGAAACGCGGAGCCGCGGGAGCGAGCGCCTCGGGCAGGAACCGCGAGCCCTGCGCGCGCCCGACCAGTGTCGGGGACAAAGGCCCAGCCAGGGTCCTCGAGTGTAACACCCGAAGCGGGCAGAGCCAGATTCCGCAGCCCTTGTGTGATGCTGCGCATCCCGCATGGGCGCGGGAGCCAGCACTCTGGTTCTGCAGCCCTGGTGGCTCTGAGGCACGTTTTTAGGAAGTCCAAAAACACCACTGCAATGTAAAAAGACACACACGCGTGTTACCACAATTCCTCCCGGGAAGGCTTATGCAACTGATTGAAAAAAGACCATTTCATCACAGCTAAGAAATTACATCCACCTCTACGGAAATTGGTCCAGATGCTGACACAATTAGGGACGCTTACCTGGCCAGAGCTAAACGACTGGTGAAAGAATGATGCAAGAGCCATCTCTGCCCGCATTAGTAGGCTACCTTCTCTCACAATCATCCTTGGATTTTTTTTTTCTCCTCGAAATGAGAAGATACTCAGATTAGAAACGAAGTCTTTCCAGTCTCAGTGCTTAAAATGCAAGAGACGGGAAATCGAGTCAAGAAAGCAGACATTCTCCATCTGTGAGCGGAGGAATTGTAAAGACACTCCTTCGATCCTCATCGATCAGTAAGGCTTAAAAAATGAGATGAGTCCTTCAAAACGACGCAACCCTTGACTAAAGTCACTGATTTGTCTAACAGCTCTTGTATTACTCAAGGCAAAGTCTTACTACCACAGTAATGGATACCCATTAAGTTTTCAAAGGCCAACCTGGGAAAGTGAGCAGCCATTGGGTAAAGACGTTTACACTATCTCCCTAGAAACCGTGTATGAGGGTAAAGCTTTCCCCAGTCCGGTCCTTCCCACCCAATCCCAGTAAAAGCTCACACTCAGTGTAAAGCCTATGGCACAATACCTTGAGCTACCTGAGACCAGGGGCACAGAACCAGACCATCAATCCTGTATAACATAAGGAGGAAGGATTGAGGAGAGAAAGCTTTGCAGAAGGAAGTAGTACTTAAGGCAAGTATACAAACCTCTTGACCAACCTGATGTTTACAGGGTAGAGTGGAGAACTTTCTCCCTTTGGCTTTATGTGTTTTCTCTTGGGATGCTCAAAGAAAAGTTAGCCTTTAACCATTTCTCCTTTCCACATGGCAATACCTTGTGAAGTCAATTACCTTTTCTGGTCTAGACTTCGGATTAAATATGCAGAATTGACCAATATTTGTTTAGTTCCTACTATGTGCCAAGCAGAGGCTTCACAACAGCCCTTTGAACTGTGTAAGTCAGTCATACTTCCCTTGATTTCCTCTGATAGGATCGTGACTAAACGCAGGCAAAAGGAAGGAACAGTGCTTGATGTGAGCAGCCAAGAAGGGCCAGGGTCTTGTGGGCCACAGCACTACTAAAACTCTGCCCCATCCCTCTGCTTGACATTTCCCATGCACCATGTTCTTTTTCTCTAGCCAGCTTCTTCCACATGGCTGGAAACAAGACCATTGACAACTCTCAACTTTACAGCTTCAACCTCACCCTTAACAGGCTGAACCTGTGAGGCTCTCTACAACTCCCAAGGAGGAGCAGTTCATTGGTCCAGCAAATTGCCTATCCCTGAACCAAATGACTGTGCTGAAGACCTGTAATAACATGGACCCAACCATATTCATGTAACTGCCATGCTTGTGTGGAAATATGAAGATCCTTTAATCTATTAAATGATGCTGGTTTCCATTTACTGATAAAATGAGTAAGATGGTGTTATGGTATGAAAATGGCTTGTTCTAAGTGTTCATTGTGATTAAAAGTTTGATTGCAGGGTGGCACTTTGGGGAGGCAATGGAAACTTTGGGAAGTGGTACCTAGCAGCAGGTCCCTACGTGATTGGGGTGTGCTCTTAGAAGATAGTCCCTGTGCATCCCTTGGGAGTTCTCACCGAAAGAGCCTGGATTTAACCCCAACCAGACTCTCCACTCCTGATTCCAGATGTAACCACTTGCCCTGGCATGTACTCCAGTGTCCACTAGTCACCATGAGATCCTCATCAGACTCGAAGTTGTGCAAGGCACCCTGCCCTTGAACCTCCAAAATTGAGCTAAGTCTCATTCTTTATAAGAGCTATGTCAGGTATTTTGTTATGTGATGAGATGTTGACTCATGCAGAGGGGAAGTGTGGGAGGATACAGTATAATTTTTTTGAGTACTAACTATGGCAGTAACAAATGAATAATAACAGTAATTAACCAAAGTCCCTATTATGTGCAATGAATATCAATAACAATCCTGTAAAGTAAATACACCCATTTTACAGATGAACCATCAACTCACAGCAGGTAAGTCTTAAACCCTAGGTTATACACAAAGCAGAAGAGAAATCAGAATTAGGGCACAGCTCTGTCTGACTCTAAGCCTCTGAATTTTAAGCCACATTGGTTTGGCATTATCAACCTCTTAACTACTATTAAACCCTCAATGCTTTTCTTATGATGAGATTGAGTTTTTCTCAAATCTGAGACCTTACAACAATTGCATAGAATTGCTCATGAAGAGCTATAGATACGGTAACTAGGCCAAGAGCCTTACCAAACCCAACATTATGACAGCAACAAATTACTGACGGAAATTTATGGTGCTGTCTTAAACTCCCTTCTTCCTCCTTCACTTTCTCTTATGTTCTTCCTCCGTCCTCATCTTCCATTTGTTCCTACCTTCCCTCCATTCCTTTTTTTTTTTTTAATGTGCATGAGTGTATTGCCTGCATGTATGTGAGTGCACCCGTGTCGTGCAATGCAGCAGAGGTCAGAAGAGGGCTTTGGAGTCCCCTGGAACTGGAGTTAAGGATGGTTCGTAGCCACCATGTGGGTGCTGGGAATTGAACCCAGATCCTCCGCAAGAGCAGTCAGTGCTCTTGACTGCTGAGCCATCTCTCCAGCCCCCTTCCCTCCATTTCTATCTTTCTTTTCCATTCTCTTCCTTGAAGGGAGACTGAAGAGCAAGGAGGGCAAGAGGGCAACGCCGTAGCAGAGAGAAGACTGCTGTGGTTAGACAGTCTGCTACACCGAACAACCAAAGATGGCAAGAATTCAGATGGCCACGTTTCCCACTGTTAGAGAAAATGCAGAAGTGGAACGAGGGAAGAACGGAAATATTCCCAAAAGGTTGTACCCATGAATCACTCCCGGCATGGACTGCACCTCAAGCATCCCCATCAGTGATCAAATAATCTCAGGCAGTGAATTTGTTAGACATGATCCTGGCCTTTGAGGGCCCTTAAGCCGCTGGCAAGCGTAAACATGAGATCTTTCTGGAAGAATGGACCTCACTGACTTTATAATTCATTTGTGGAGATTCTTCGAGGTCGTGTGTGTGTGTGTGTGTGTATGTGTGTGTGTGTCTGTGTGACATGTACATAAACCACAGACACCATGAGCAAAAATTAGCAAATAACAGAAGCTACCCCACAAAACATGCAGACATGAAAATTAGCAGATGCAGATTCTAAAGGAACTGTATTTCATGTAGGGTCAGGGAGATGGCCACCAAGCCTGAAAGCTGGAGTTTGATTCCCTGGATCCACATGGTGGAAGGACAGAACTGACTCCCACAAGTTGTCCTCTGACCTCTATACGTGCACCACGGTACATGTGTGTCTGCACACATACACATACAATAAGTAAATAAATCTTTTAAAGTTAAGAAAGACTGATGGAAGTATTTTATCTTAAAATACCAATTTTTATACTGGAATTCTCTCTTTGTTCATCATTTAAACCTAAAATGAAAGTGTTCAGTTATTCAATGAGAGTGTACCTACTTTTTTGCAATGTCCAGACTCTTTAGAGAGCTGTGAATTTTATGTTTGTGTCACACTTGTCCTTTAACACTTGTCTGTGGCCAATGGCTCCTGGGTGGCACAGGGCATTTCATTTGTTGGTATTTCCCTGAGGCCAACAAAGGGCTTGATATATTGAGATGCCCGTGAATATTGACTATATGGATAAAGTGTGGTTGTACAGGAACACTTTATGTTACTGAGAGATTTCATGCATTCTGTCATAAATGTTAAGGCCTATCAAGTCAAGTTAATACACCCAGACATCCCTCGGTGTAGGTTCATCCACTGGGGTCTAGTCAACCTATCTAGAGTCACTCCCTTAAAGATCAACTCTCCCTCACCCAGCAGTAATCAGTTGTCAGTAGTTCCTACGCTAAGGTTGGGGCCTGCTGCCCATGTCCTTAGCTCTATGCCAGGTTTTTGTCTGATTGAGTCAGCATGGGTCTTGTGCATTTTGTCACCCTTACTGCAAGTTCATATAAGCAAGTTCCTAGAGGCCCAGAAGACTATTTCTTCATGTCCATGGGTTAAACCTAGCGCTTACAATCTTTCCCCCACTCTTCCACAGTGGTCCCTGAGTCATGGGTAAGTGGCATGTAATATAGGAGTTCTAGCCAGGGAAATGTACTCTGCAGTCTCCCACTCTCTACACCTTGGCTAATTGTGGCCTTCTGTGTGCATCACACTCTGTTGCCTGAGGAAGCTTCACTGGTGAGAATTGAGGGATGTATTCACATTCAGGAAGAGACAAATTTATATGATGCTTGAAAATCAACCACATGATAGACATTAGGGTTACAATTTTTGTACTTTTATATCTCAATTTCTTGGTTGTAAATAATTCAGTTTCAATACTTCATACAGAAATGTTTGACAGTGGCACACACGGAATCAAATCAAAAGCCATGTTTTTTATTCCTAGTATGTT